ATTTTTCTCATACTGCCTGTGCTGCAGCACCTCTTTTCACCCTCTGTCTGAAACCAGAGCCCAGTCTGCTCTGATTGGTTAGCTGGCCGGCTCTGTTGTGATTGGTCAACCACTTAGAGATGTCCCGCCCCCTTAGCCTATCATGTACAATGTGTTGGAGCGCTAGCCAATAGACACACCATTGTGACTATTGTCTATGTTACTGTACAACAATCTGTAATAACTGTGCAATATACACTTTTACTTTCACTACTGTTATCTGGCAGCAATTACACTACTTCTACTTGCTAGACTTTAAAAAAGTGTGGGAGAGAAATTCTCCCCAGACCATTTACATGCACAAAAACCTATAGAACACACTACAGGAGAGGGAACACCCCATAAAGCATGATCGGGACTCTTTAATATTAAAATACCTTACAGTAGATTACTTGAGTGATGGCGTTGTATTGGACTACATTATATTGAGAGGTGTTTCTAATTGTCTGGTCCCTTCATGTATAAAAATAGGAAATATTAAATTATATATATAAATAACAGAGTCCAGTGCGACACCACCTTTAACTGCGACCTCAATTACTGTATTACATCACATGTTACTTGTTAGATGCTTTTATCCAAAGCGACTTACATACTCAATACTGTGGACAATCCCCACTGGAGCAATTTGGGGTGAAGTGTCTCAAGGACACAACGACATGCTGACTGCAGTGGGGTTTGAACGTGTGCTCCCCTGATCCGAACACCAACGCACTAACCCACTGCGCCACACGCCTCCTGTATAATCATCACACTAAATGTACACATTTTAAGGTAAAACTGATGGTAGAGCTGTTTTATGGAATTCAGGAGATGAAGATTTGAGATAGTGAATCTAAAACCATGAAGTACCGAAAGCTTCAGGGATTAATTAGAAAAAGAAACTGTGACTCACCGGAGGTTGTAACCTTTTCTCATTAATTCTCAGCAATCAATAAAATAATGCTCCAGAAGATATAGTGCTGGGAGCTTTAAAAAAGGGCCATTTTCTTTCCTGACATGGTGTGAGCTGAATAAGAATGACAAGCAGAGATGTTGAGCTCATAGTCATGTTCAGCAATTAATGATAACATTTGTCATCGTGATTAATCTATATTTTATCTGTGAACATTACCTTTGTCTTTGTTTCAGAAAACCTTAACAATTTCCATCCCAATACTCCAGAAGCTAAAGTCCTAAAATTCAAAAATAATATTTTAAAAGCTCACCGAAATCCCAGAGTGTTGATGTGCTGGCTGCCCAGCCTGAAGAGGATCTTCTTGGCCGAGTCCTCCAAGTTGTTGGAGCCCTCGTCATTGACCATCAACGCCAGAATAAGCCCCGCCCCCACACCATCCACATACTTAGCAAGGCGCCGACTCTCATCCTTACTGCGATACGTGTCAAACCTGTGGGAGTGAGGGGGGTGGGTAAAAGAGGAACACAGGAAACAAATAGAATTGTGATTGTGTCTTCAAACAATGTAAGTTATTATTAACAACTCAACCTCTAACATATTAAATGCTCAATTTGTGTTGTAAGTCAAATAGTTTAAGGACAGTAAACTGTAAAAAAGGACTTGAACACACACTCATCTTCAGATTTTTAAAGGGCAATCAAAACAATGTTCTGTTATACCATGTTTCAGATAAGATATACAAATATATATAAATATTTAAAAGCAAAGTTACCAATAAGATTTTAGAATATCTTTAAAAAAAAACAGGTTTTTTTATATATTTTATTTCATTATTCTTTTATTTATACTCAATGTGAAAACACAAGATATATAATGTGAGTGTAGTCTGTGGACATACTCAAGAAGTCAAGAAACAAAAAGTATTACAAAAAAATCTAAAAGCAGTATAGGCACGAATTTGCATAGAGGTGGAAAGTAATACAAAATATAAACACATTTGAATGTGTACATCTTTGAACCTCTTGTAAGTAGTGCACCAACCTCAAAAGTCAAAATGAACATTTCATTTATTTCCACACTAAGTCTAATCTTTAAATTAAACGAGGCAGCAATTCCACATTCCTTCGCAGAATCTGCACACTACTAGCATAGCGTAATGTGCTAACATTAAATCTGTGAAATGCAAACCTAAAGGTACTGCAGGTACTGCAATAATGCAAGTATGAAAGACAACTGCTCCAAATAATATAATCGGGTTTAAAATTGAAGGTGCCATATCCATAGAAAGAGCATTGACCGCATGTTATTTAAAATAACTAACAGATAGAGACAGTATTATTCAGGGCCTTTTACTTTGACATCGCTGACAAGCATAGCTTTATGAATTATGGAAGCTAAATAACCTCCTATGAGCGCAAGAGCAGAAAACCAAGATCACATATTTGTAGAACAACCAAAATCCATTATAAAAACAATATACCACTTCAAAGCATTTTTTTCTATTGAATTGTTTTCCTCTCTCCCACTGCAGTTGACTCAGTGTGCATATTAAATGTATTCTAATAACCATATATTAAGTGCATTTTATGGCTGTAATCAGACAAAGTCTAATGGTGGTTAATTAGAGGAAACTGGATCCTGTCCAATGCCTTACATCCTCCTCTGAAAATTACAACATTATATTTACAATAAAAGTTGTATAACAATTTATCTTAACTCCATTGCAAGTAAAATGTGTGATGGCTAATTAAGCGTGAAAAGGATATTAAGGGTGACATCAATTTCTACATTTAATATCCTTGTATGAAACAATGCCAGAGCCATTAAAGGAATATTTGTCTCCTTCATTTCAACCCTGTGGTTAGACAGATTATGAAATGTCAGCCACAAAATCATTTCGGCTCTAATTAAGAATTTCATGGCTGTTCGGAAGCCGAGACCCAGCCTTTGCTTCAGTGGGGCCATTACCTGTCATTGTGCAGCACCTCTCCGCTTTTAGGGTCAATGACATGGATGATGATGCCTCTGCTGCCCCAGCCTCTCTGGAACAGGTAGTTGTTCTGGTTGCTCTCTCCAGGGTGCAGAGTCTTGTTGAGGAACGTCCACGACAGCTTCTTTTCTCCGTGGATCTCTAGTGTCCCCCCTGTCCCCACGCCAATGTACTTCCTTCCAAAGTAGCTGTGATCCTTATCACTGTCATCCAATCTAAGAACAAAATGAGAGAATACGCGAAAATATGTTACCATTTCAGGAGGTTTTATTAGTTAAAGGTGGGGTAGGTAAGTTTGAGAAACCGGCTCGAGATAAACTTTTTGTTATATTCCATGGAATGCTCTTAACATCCCGATAGCAATGAATATCTTAAGTGCTTTGACAAAAAATCCATAAAAAGATGTCATCTGTGGAAGCCGTAGTACTGTAAAAAGCACGACCAATCATTTTAGCCGGCCCGGCTAAAATAACTGGATGGCCTACCTGCCTGTCAGCCTTCCATCTGTGCACAAACTTATCTCGTGCCCTCATTGGTCATGTGCGCGTTCGTGTGTGTTGGAGGAGGGGCTCTGTAAGGAAGTGGCAGATTTTTTCCGGCTGTGTATTTTCAAATTCTAGCGATCTCGAGCTGGTTTCTCAAACTTACCTACCCCACCTTTAAATAAGGGAAGGCAAGTTTATTTATATAGCACATTTCAACACAAGGCTATTCAAAGTGCTTTACAAAAAAATTGAAAACATTAAGATCATTAAAATGTATTGAAACAGAAACACATTATAAAACATTGTAAACATTGACATTTAAATTCATTTAAAAAACAGTCATTAAAAAACCAAGAGAATAAAATAAATATAAACAAGCTAAAATAGAATAAGACAGCGATGAAATGCAATAATAAAAGTTACAGTGCAATGTTTGAAATGTCAGAGAGTAATTATTTGATCTAATTAAAAGCAGTGTTCTATAATCTGAGCCAGTGGAAGTATGCAGAGGTTAAAGAGAAGGGGCCCCAGGATGGAGCCTTGAGGAATTACGCACAGGATATTTGTCCCCTCGGAATGTGGAAACAACGTGTTTCCTGAAGATCTATATCTTTAAACAGACTCATAAGGCGCGTTCACACCAAGTACTTTTCCCACAATAGTTCATGAGAACTTTAGTTCATGAGAGCTCTTTTAGTTCTGATGAACTAAAGCAGATCGTGTTCACACCAAAATGAGTTCCTGGGGGTGGGTTAGGCAAATGAACCGCTGACGTCACTTCTTCTTCTTCTGCTTTGGGTTTACTGGCAGGCCGCAAACAACTTCACGACGAGTACAGTAGGTGGCGGTATGCACCTTAAAGTTGCAATCCGCCAAAAAATCGAGAGAAAAAGAAGAAGAAAAACCTCCCGCGCCGCGCCCACTTGCTGTATATGAGGCGTCTGTTTACCTTCCGACCTCAGACATGAGCTTCGTCTGAGTTATTTAAGCAAACACAAATACAGATCGTCGACCAGTCAAATGCAATAGCAATGCTGATTCGGAAGCGAAGGCGGTTAAGAAGGATTGACAAAAGGATTGGACGACGACATGCATGCGCTACGCTACGTGTGAAATGAATCAACTGTGCCAGGTGTGTCGTATGCACACTAAATAGGCTCAGCAGCTAACACACCTTTATTATATATCCTCCTGAGAGCAACTGCATCCGTCTGCCATGAACCCTACAGAAACCTACGTGTTAGTTTTGGCCCATAGTGGCCTCCATTTGTGTCGTGTAAAATGGGGGAAATAAAAAGTTAGCAAATCCCCATGTCATGTTTATAAAAACATTTAGTTTTAGGTCAAATAATTATTACACTGCTCTGAAACTCACTACACTAACTTCTAAGATGTTCCCTTACTATAATTAATTAACAATATTGAACTCACAACACTGGTAATAACAAACTTAACCATTTCTCTTTCTATAAATAAATAGTGCTTGTGTTGGACGCCATTTTGAAATACAATGAAATTATCTTTTTGAAAGCCACAATAAATAAAGCTTCGCCAGTTTATAACCGATGAAACATGATGGTATCAGAATAATCACTTACATGTGATGTATAGGATGCTACACAGGTCACTGTAAAGATAAAGTGTCAGAGGAGAAATAAGCAAGCTTAGTTACATGAAATGTAATGAAAAATGTAAGATACAGGCTCTGTTTAATCGCCATGTAGGTTCTCTTTTATTGCACACTCAAGACAATATCAATAACAGCATCACGCTGTCCCAGGTGTGTCGTATGCATGTAAATAGAAGTTAACATTTTCAATATCAAATAAAGTGTCAGTAGTATCAAAACATATATATATATATAATAACAATATAATAACAATAGGTAGGCTCAGCAGCAGACACACCTTAGTGCAAAGTGAAGTGTCAGTATTAATAACAGTGGCATATAAATATAATCACAATAATACAAAATTAACTGTCCCAGGTGTAGGCAATTTGGGGTGAAGTGTCTTGCCCAGGGACACAACGGCATGCTGACTGCAGTGGGGTTTGAACCTGTGCTCCCCTGATCCGAACACCAACGCACCAGACCACTGCACCACACGCCTCCCAACAAGTCATTGTACAGTTTATCAACGACGACAAGTATTTCTTAATTTTTTTATTGAAGGCCTGTTGGATTTAATCAGCTCGCTTAGCACTGCCAGAAGCCCAGCCTGAAAGGTATTTTGTTGCTCCACCTGGCGCGCCGACACCTCCACCTGGCGCGCCGCCGAGTCAGCATGGCGCGGCATCACCATGAGCAGCTGGTCGTCCGATTCCTGGGCCTTGTGTGAATGCAGCAGCCATTCGTCGTGCATCTCCTTGGCACGCAGGTCCTCATTCTCCTTGCTGACCATGGCACGGCGGTCCATCGCCATGATGGTGTCAAGGAAGCTGTCATCGCGTGCCCACTTTCATAAGGAGAAATAAGCAAGATACAAGATCAGTTTAATCGCCTAGTAGGTTGTCAACAGAGACAACATTGGACATGGTGCAGGCAGGGTCAGTGTACAAAATGCAGGTGTAAAGTAGAAGATAAGATAGGATCAAATAATATCAAATAAATATCAAAGTGCCCTTATTTATTGTTTTGTGCTTAATGTATGCTTGAACTTTGTTTTATAGGGATTAGTGGACATCAGTTAGATGCGTAGCCTTCTTTCAAGTCCAGAGTAGTTACAGTGTAAGTGGATTGACATATAACATAACATGGCTGAGTACAATTATAACAATCAATAAAAAAAAAGGAAGAATAAATTGAATTTCAATTACATTTTTGCTTAAATGTGCAAAATATTAGAACATCAGTCTTTGTGGCATGCAGGTAATCAACTGTTTAAGCTTTTACCATTAACATGTAGAATGAATGTTGCAAATGATGAAATTATAGCAACTACAATGTATTGTTAGAGGTAGCATTATGTCCAGCTAGCATGCTAATTGCTAACGTTATATTATCGTTTTATACCGGAGGGAAAAGCGAACTAGTTTCCAATCCAGAGAGAAACACCTCGCCTGAAACACACGATTAGTGCCATGAGTTAGTGAAGCAATTACAGAACATTGCACACTTATTCACAAGTCAAAACGTGTTCATAGCGGGCACGGCTGAGAATAGCTAGCTAGCTAGATGTTGTTAGCCAGCTTGGACCTATGTTAGCCAGTTCTAGCATGGCTAGCTCGATCTACTGAGCAAATAAAAGTACATCTGAGACCAGTATTGTGCAGATTAAAACAGTGCAGTGCATGTATTTTAGTTTACCTTCGTCCCGACATGACTTTGCCAGGTCTGCTAACTTTGCTGAACCACGGAAACTGCATTCAGTAGAAGCTTCTGAAAGCGGCTCTTCGCGTCCTCCGAGTAAATCGCCAGAAGCGCCGACACATCCTCATCACTCCACCGCTCCGATGATTTATTTAGTGTTGCCATAATAACTGCTTTCACAAAAGTAATCCACTCGTTGGTGCGCTGTGCTGAGCTTAATGCGAGCAAATACAATGGCGGCCTTCAAAAAAGATTCTAGAGATTCACGGGGCGATGTTTGCATTCCGCACAGCCAATCAGACGTATGAACTATTTTCTCCCACGACAGTCCCTGCTCTCTAGCAGGGACTGAAAAGCGGGTCAGATGAACTCATTTGAACTACTTTAGTTCCTGGGGCTTTTTGGTGTGAACGCAAATATATCGTAGTTCTGATGAACTATTGTGGGAAAAGTACTCCGGTGTGAACGCGCCTATAGTCTAAAGCAGGGGTCGGCAACCTTTTTGATATGAAGTGCCATTTAAGAAAAAGAAATCTGATTAGTGTGCCGACGTTCGTGAACTGTCAACGGGAGGGCGGGGGGAGCCTCGCTGCGGGGAAGCTGTGGACCTCTGCAGTTTAAACACAGTTAAATAAATAGAGGGCCGTCAGCGAACCAAGCCCGGTCGTCAACGGCCCGCTGGCGACCGGCCCGGTTCGCTGACGGCCGGACATACTGTGATTCTCCAGAACACACAGTTGGCCAGTCCGCCCCTGTGTAGCATATTATTTTCGATGACAGATGAACAGATCGCCACTGGGTTTTCAACTAAAGACACAGCCACGCAAAAACTGCGGCATGTACAGCTCCTTATGGGTACTGCAATGTGTGAAGTGCGCTACACCCTGATAGTTTCACCATGGAGGAAAGCAGCAGAAAGTCGACTGGAGTTAAAAAGAGCGGGGTTATCCTTCTGCGCTGCGTTGCATGCATGGCTTCCTTCTGCAGGGGGAGACGCGCTCTGCCGGCGGTCTCGTTCAGGATCCGAAAATACAATGTAAATATTTTGCACACTTATTCCTAGTGTGCCACTGGTTACGGCCCGCGTGCCAATGGTGGCACGCGTGCCAGGGGTTGCCGACCCCTGGTCTAAAGTCATGTTAACAGCCCACAACTGTAAAGCTGCAGTGCCACAGAGGTGCTTTCAGCTAAGGCCTAATGTTAGCATGCTAATATGCTCACAGTGACTATGCTCACATGTTATATTTTGAAGCTATAATGTTTATTATGATATGTTATGATAGTGATTTAAATCATGAAAATACAGCTAATGTTGATGGAAATGCCATTATTATCAGGGGTGCACATAACTGGTACGCAGGTACGCATGCGCGGCAAACATCTGAAATGCGTACCGTCACTTGTCTCACTAAGCGCATTTGCGTACCGGCGGACTTGTGAAGCATTTCCAGAAGGCGCTTCAATCACTGGACGACAGAGCCGGTCGCCGTGCGCACAGACGGGGCTGCTGTTAACGTCGGTGTGTACAACGGAATTGTGCCACAACTTCTGGCGCGAGTTCCACGCGAGTGCTCCACTAGCGCCCACCTCCACCCCTCCCGTCGACGTTCAATACCACACCCCGCCCCCTCCCCCCGTCGACGTTCGCGAAACAGAGGGGCCGAACACAGAACCTTGCGTGGGCAGCCCTGAGTACCAAACATTGTCTCCTGGTACTCATTTGAGTAACTCACTAAGAAAGTTATGTGCACCCCTGATTATTATGTCATGTATATGGAGAACATTTTAAGTATTGTGCAAAGGGTCTCATGGGATTTGCACTATAAGAAAATACTACACCTACACCTACACCTTTAAGATTTATTGTCTGATCGACATCGGCTTAATAATAATTTACCACTAACATGTGATGGAGGGCGACAGTAGCTCAGTGCGGAGGGACCTGGCTTGGGAACCAGATGTTCACCTTATGGTCATTGGAGTGGACTGGTATCATGAGAGATTACTTCCTGGGCCCTGCCAAAGTGTCCTTGAGTATTGCACCAACACAAACGCATTTGGTTGCTAAACCATGGCAGACCCCCTGCTTAGCATCCGCTCCATTAATGCATGTGTATGTGCATGTATGTACTGTATAGAGTCCAAATGTGAGTAGGTCCTGTGCGTGTGTGCTCTGTGTTTCAGGTGCAATATGCATAACAACAGAGTGAACATTTGCCCTCGAGGGATTATTAAAGTATGTCTTCTTCTTCTTCTTCTTTTTCTTCTCTATGTTTATAAGCTACATTTAATACAACTGTACCTTCCAAAAAGGGAGATGGTGAGGTTGCCTTTATAAGGACAGTCTCGGCTTCCAATGTGCAGCTCCCCTTTGTTCCCAATCAGAATGTGTTTTGTTCGCAGCAGTATGGCCCGGTTGGTGTCAGCAATCACCAGCTTTCCTGAGAGGAGAGAGAGAGAGGGAGGAGGGGGTGGAAGAAAAGTAAACCTACTGGCAGAGCATTCATGACTCAGTGCCATCAGGCTTGTCTTCCTACCATTTAAAGCCCTGGGCTCAGGCTGCGTGTACACACACACACACACACACACACACACACACACACACACACACACACACACACACACACACACACACACACACACACACACACACACACACACACACACACACACACACACACACACACACACACACACACACACACACACACACACACACACACACACACACACACACACACACACACTTGCTGTAGCTGGCCAACCACCTGTGTTACCAGGTTTCAACAAGATTTATTGAATTATTTTGATTAAATGTAAAATGAAAGTCAGAGTGAGTGAGAATGAAGACATAGATCATGTTGAGCGAGTGCTTCTACAGTTAATGTAGCAGAAAGCGCTCTGCTCTCTGAGAATTGTAAAATTATCTGAGCAGCACTGATGCCCATAATAAATGCTGTAATGAAAAGATACAGTAAAGCTGTAAATCGGCTATAACATTAAATCTTAGTAACCCATACATTTTAAACAATACCAAACTATGGTCCCTTAAAATATGATTGATTTACACACAAATAGAAAAGCAAAAACCACAGTGCATTGTAAGGTGGTCAGAAAGCTTAACTCATCATCTTAAGGGACGCTTGTTCTATCATTTAATAAACTGATGTAGTTACGTGACTTATTTGAATTATCTATGTCATTCTATATCCAATATATAACAACAACAACAACAACAACAGTGCAGAGCAACTGAGAGAAACATAAATGAAAAAGATTATTTTATGCGGTCTATTGTTTCAGAGAGAGTACTTTTAATGAATTGTGTCTCTGTATTGTGTCTGTTGTTTTTTTATTTTAGCAATCCTTCATACTTAATAGACTTCTTACTTATTCAGTGTTTTATTATTTTGACTTAACTTGACCATCCTTTTAAAAGAGGAATAGCTGCTTTTTTTTAAAGGATTTGTAGGGTTTTGGAGTAAATGTGTATATTTGTTACAGTGTTGAATTGTTCCTGTCCTTCGTGGGTAAATCACTATACCCACCAGACATACTCTGCTTCACTTAATATGTCACATTACATAAGATAAAGACAGCATTTCACTGTGAAAGATTGACACCATATTGACTCTTCTGGCTTACCGCCACTGAGAATCTCAATGGAGTGGACCGTAGCTGAAGATGTGAGGAGGACCTTCCTGCCGTAACCGATGGTAACACGGTGGTCCTCGCTGTGTCCCGGCATCCATGGCTGCAGTCCTGGCTCTTTATCAGGACACACTGCAGGAGACAGAAAACACACCAATTATTTATTTAGTACTTGATTGCATGAGATGAAGAGCTGTTTTGTTTGATTTATGTTAGACTGTTTGTGTGCGGACCCCAGGAAGAATAGCCAATGTTAGTGCTAATTGGGATCCTTATAAGGAAATAAAGAAGATTGAAGGAACCAGACCAAGAATGATTGACAGTATGATTTGGCCAAGAAGGAGCTGCCACTCCTCTCCCCCAACAGGGAAACAGTTGCCCCTCACCAGAGCCAGAACTGGAAGTGGAGCATGTGTGGCTGGTGCCAAGCTCAGCCAGAAATAACTGCTGCGCTGCGGGCACACCACAGGGAGAGGCACTGGGGCTGGGTGCATTGTCAGCCAGGTAGCAGGCGACCCTGAACAAGGGGCTCAGCAGACCCTGGATGGGTGTACAGGCTCATTTCTCTGGTGGGGAGCAGGGGTTCTATCACTTTTGCTTTTATTTGTAATCTTTTTAATTTGTGGTCATTTTGCTCAGCTAAAAGCTCAATATTTGTTCGTGACCCAAAAGTAACAAACACAACAACGTACAATAAATAGGTAAATACATGAGCAAAAAAATAAGAAGAAGAAGAAGAAATAGAGCAGTATACATGGGTTGCTTGTGTTACGGCTAAAAGACAAACACAAAAGCCAGCATGGATTATACAAAAGCACGATCGAACAAGTGATGGTCGTCCCTTAACAATTTCCAGGTTTCTTTAAATTGGTTTTCCTGAAGTTTCAGGGAAAAGGTTTTTCTTTCCATTGTAAATACTATATAAATACTATAACTTTTTCAGCTATTACCTAAATTGGGATAAGATAGCACACAAGGTTATTAGGCTGCTCATTCCAGAGTAAGAGTGATTGATGGACCCATTTGGTTTGTGTCTGTTATTGTCAGCACAGAACTGAGATGCTGTGTGTAACCATCCAGTGTGTCCAATGGAGGTTTAATCTATTGCTCTCAGGTGTGTGTGGTTACCTCATCTCCCTCTCACCTAATGGATCCGTCAATGGCATTGAGTGGCCAGAGACCTGAATAGTGGGGCTGATTTCCCAGCGGGCTAACAGAGAGTGTTGGCTGCTGACGTGCAATCAAACGGCTTCTTCTGTCTGTGAGTGACGGCTGTTTGGCTCTCCAGAACTCAGAATGTCTGTGGAGGGGTGTCTGCTGTCCTGCAATGACTCATATTCCTGTGCATACTGAGAGCTAGTCCACATGTACAGGTATTTTTAAACCAACAACATCATCTCCGACCCCAACCATGACCTGAACAGTAAGAATTAGTTTTTCCCATCAAATCGGAGATACAGGGTCCCACGATTTGATGAGGTTGTACTGAAGCATTCTTTTGTGCACCAGTCAATCCTCAAAATAAATACTGATTTAAATCCCTGATCTAATGTAGATGTAGAGGGTCTTGAGCATGTTTCTCTTCAGTGATCTTGATGCAATGTTAAATGTCTGTTTCCTTCTTTCTTGTCTTAAATATTTGTCCTTTTTAATGCTGCAAATGGAGATGCTGTGATGATGGAAAAATGTCAGACTCGATCTAAAAATGAAGTATTATCGCATCGTATCGTAGGCCCTATTCTGCTTTTTGGTTTATTTTTCCTTTCCTGTAGAATGTGATATAGGCTAGTGTGCATGTAAATGGTCTGCAAAGGCTATACAATGCAACTGACTCGCTGCCAAAAGCCAGGGAGCAACGTTGATCGGGAATGTGCTGAGGGAGTGTTGGATGTAGCGACATAGTAGAAGAATAACTATACAATCGTGAAATATGTATTTGTACGGCTGTTGCACATTATGTTGCCTCATCAGCGAAGGTCACGGGGGAGATAAAGGCCCACGATCCAAACACATTGTGCAGACTGGATCCTATCATGCTTTAACCTGCTGTACAAATTACGTTTCTGCAGTAATTGTTGCAGTAATTTATCTAGTGTTACCCCTTTCTAATCCACATTGTTCTGCTTATATTTCAATTGACCTTAATTTGAAGCATGGATATAGGGGAACACACCTATACAAACATAACATGAATACCAAAGGCATAAGATTTCATCCAGCCTATAAAAGTTCCTCATCAGCAGATATTCTCATGCACAATTCTGTGTGAGTGTCTGAACTCAGTTCTTGGAGATCTGTGGCTGCAGGTTGGCTGCTGTTTTACGATCACACAAAGAACTGAGCCTGACCTTCATCAGAAACCATCAGCACAGGTACAGTGAGTCAGGGAGAATCATATTGCAAAAAATAAATTAAGAAAAATAAAGACTTCAAAGCATTACACCTGTTTTTTTCGCTTTAATCACAGGCAATATAAGGATAATAACTGAGCGTAACATAGCAAGTAAAACTAAAATAAGTTGGGAACTGTCTAAAGTCATCATAAGTGGCTTCAGTAAGAGAAATTCAATATTATTGAATAAAAATACATAACTTGAGAGGACAGCACTCAGGTAAACTGGTCACCAATATATTTAAATGTATTTAATCTTCAGAGTCAATAAAAGGAGAGTTTGGAGAGAAACTCCCTCTGGAGGGAACACAGGGATTGTAGCCTCTGCAGAACATTGACATGCACAAAGACCGATAGAACACACTACAGGAGAGGGAACACCCCGATAACATAATAGGGCCTCTTTAATGTCACTATAGGACTGTATCTATATTTTCTTTAAATCATCAGAATTTGCTTTCTGATGTGACATTGATGTATTTTGGCTGTTTAACGTCCAAATATTTTGAAATAAAGTACAAAATAAAGTAACTATAAAAGCACAAGCTGTGTTCTTCTGGTGGGAGGGGCTAAACGCAGAAGGGTGGAGAGCTGCAGGCTGTATTTCCTTTTCCAGAGAACTGCCTGCCCAGGGACACTCTTGAATTACACATTGCTGAAAGGTTATTATGGAACCTTGTCCCAGTTATAGAAAGCCGAAGTCCCTCCCTTTCCGGTGATCCTCCATGGGACCTTATTTCGGAAAAATTATGTATTGAAGTCAATGGCGAGAGAGAAATTATCTTTCGATCCCGTTTGAATTGTGCCATGAATTACACATATGATGTTTGTCAATTTAAAAGATCATTTTGCAAGTCAAGAAAAAAAAGGTTTGTCGTAAAACTGTGAAGTAACACTTATTTTTGTGTGAAACTGCTCAATGAACTACATCTCAGGTCTCGCGTCACCATCACCAGAATGAGGCGAAAAGTATTAAACACACATTGCACTCGTTTAACACTCACCGAAACCTTGTACAGCCGGTCCCGCATGCTGGCTCTTACGGAACCGACTAACCAACCCAGTCTCACGGCATTTTGTGTTATAGTCACAACATTTAATCTATTGATTCGTGTTCTCCAACACGATTTTCCCCTTTTTTTCGTGTCACACAGAACGATTTTAAAAGCAATGTATTTCTATTGGTAGTGTGTTTTGTGCCTGCACCACGTCTTTTTGTCCGGTCGGGTCTTGGAAGACCAGAAGCTGTGTGGTTCATAAAAACATGTTCTTACTCAATATCAAGCCACGGTTATTGTTTTTATTTTAAATAGTATAATGTCGGACTTTTTTTGCTGTCCGTGAGGAAAAGAAATGGGGCTCAGAGCCTCAGGATACTGACATCTGTATTTTTAAAATATTTTTTTCTAAATAACACACTGTTATTTACTCAACAATAACACACAATTATCCTTGTTTTTATTTATTTGTTTAATTCTATAATCTCTGGCTTTTTGGCGTCCGTCAGGAAATGGGGCGAAGCCTGCGAGCTAGTTCAGGCAGTCAACTCGAGCACTTATGCTGCATTCATACATAACGCCCCTTGCCACTCTACAACCAACCAAACAGTCTCCTTTATATGCCGCTCTATTGAACCTGCCAGATCTCTCTCTATGCTTTGCTTGCTGCTGCTGTTGCTGCAGCTACTTCTACGTCGCTGCTGCTTGCCTGCCCCACCACCACCCCAGCTTCCACCTGTAGGCCCGGGGGGTTAGTTATTTAATCCTCACTCATGGTGCTATGTATATCTATGGAGTGATGAGGCCCGAGCCTAGTCGCCAAACTCAACTATATGCTGCTTCTAATAGACATGTTAAAGAAACACGTGAGTTGTCTGACTGAACTGAATTTCAAAATAAAGTCACCGGAAACAGACGTAGGCCTATAAGGGACATTTCGAGGATCATTGCGATACACACCCACTGAACTGATTACCCAAGATCCTCAGCTATGGTTGAAGCTCGGTGATTGGATGTTTTAGCCGCAATGCACATTGGGATATGGTGTTAATGCGATATGAAATCCGAAAAACATTTCGGAGTTTAGGATGTCCGAAGACTACTACCCATAATCCTCAGCTATCGTTTGGGACTAGAGTCCCGTTGCTTGACAAACCCTGTGATTAATCTTCAAGCACTGGGATTGGATGTTGGAGTGGCAGTGTGCCAAGGTTACGCCGAGCGTCAGACAGCTCTTTGAAATGGAATGAAACCCACGGCAGACTATCCAAAACTGGACTCGAACGGGTCCAGCCACCCCCCCCCCCCCCCCCCCCCCCAGAACTACACATGCTGGCTATTGTGTTTCGCAACATGTTCTATGGCACGTCTCTACTGGGAATTGTAGTTTTAAAAGACGTTTTTCCCACAATTAGAAGTTGCCAGTATTAAACTGTGTACATCCCTGGAGGTTTAGGGGATAGGAAACACATTGGTGTTATCACATTTATAACATTATTTAATGCTGCCCATTATTTGTGTCCATAATGGGAAGCATTAATATATACCCACATGACGGCTCATTGTTTCTTTGTAATTCTACTCCGCTACAATTCAGAGGTTAACCTGGTATTTTTACTCCACTACATTTATTTTAGTTACTTTGCAGATTCTGATTTAACAACCCTTAAATCAGACTTTAGTTACACCTGAGTAAAATTCAGGGAAGGTGCCAACAATCAGGCGAGATATTTGATAGTTGG